CTAGACGCATATCTGCCGTGTATTTAGGCTCCTGAAGTGGTTAAATTCACGCACAGTTTTTTAGGTAAAATTTTCATATGCATGTGAAATTTACCACTTGAAGGCGTGTCAGAGGGCTTTCCGATTGTATGTCATATAATCAAAGTAATTACAACGGTAAGTCAGAAGAACGGAAAATGCAGCCCAGAAGAACCAATGAGAACTCAGAGTGAGATCAAGCAAACTGTTTAAAGCGAAGGAAAACGCGGGAATCTGTCGGCCGAAAGATAACTGACAGATTACCGACAGTCAGCCGACTGTTGGCCGACAGTTAGCCGTCTGTCGGTGGAGGGGAGCTGTTCTTCACAATTACCGACCAAGGCGCGATTGGTGTTAGTTTTGCATCTGATTGGTTGATTGAGTGTAGCGAGTTTTCTGGACCAATCGCGGAGCAAAATAAAGGAAGCTGGGCTTTAAAACTGACCAAAATACGCGCAAAAACTGAAAAGAACTTAACAAGGGTCTCATCTAAACAAAGGCCAATGCTTCACAAAAAGGTTCAAACAAAGTAACGAATACTGCTGCATCCAAAAGTCATCGACTTGTCGTGCTTGGAACATTCAACCTCTCTTTTTAATCATACTTTAGACTTGTCGTGCTGAACAGAAAGGAAATAACAGTTTTGAAGTATATTTTGATCATTTCGCCCCGGGAAGTGTCATTGCATTTGATGTCACCATGGAAACCAACGTCAAGAATGCTCTCGGTCAGTTGAGGTAAGGTGCCAGACAGAAGCTATATAGTTATTTGCTGCGTCATGTCTTTTGAGCCATTTTGGTAATCGTTTGATATATTCTGTGTTTTTCTTTCTTTTCTTCTGTTCTTTAGACAGCTTGGAGTGGATTTGTATCAGAAACAATCTGGGAGCCAGGAGAGTTACAAAATGATTGATGAGTTAGACGACATACTCGCCAATCTGTCGCTGTCCGATCTCAACCGAGTGTTGTACCGAGCAGATCCCGAAGAACGAGATGATGGTAATGGTGGGGGAGTGTATGTTCTGCCTGATACAGGACCTCTTGTTTATTGTGGTTTACAAGGTCAGTGCAGACGTTTTCTCCATTAAAGGAACGTTATTGGGTTATATACTGGGTTATTGGTGGTAGATCAAGATAACAACTTCTACCTGATAAGTTTGAGTATTCTCATTACCTGCTGGATAATGTATGGATGTTATGGAGAGAAATTACATATTAATCACTTCTGGGAGATAGTGGGTCAAGAGGGGTGCTGTGAGAACTGTTAGTGGGTCAAGAGGGGTGCTGTGAGAACTGTTAGTGGGTCAAGAGGGGTGCTGTGAGAACTGTTAGTGGGTCAAGAGGGGTGCTGTGAGAACTGTTAGTGGGTCAAGAGGGGTGCTGTGAGAACTTTTAGTGGGTCAAGAGGGGTGCTGTGAGAACTGTTAGTGGGTCAAGAGGGGTGCTATGAGAACTATTAGTGGGTCAAGAGGGGTGCTGTGAGAACTTTTAGTGGGTCAAGAGGGGTGCTATGAGAACTGTTAGTGGGTCAAGAGGGGTGCTATGAGAACTGTTAGTGGGTCAAGAGGGGTGCTGTGAGAACTGTTAGTGGGTCAAAAGGGGTGCTGTGAGAAGATTTGAATGGCATAGTTTGCTTCAGGAAAGTGTTGTATCAGAGATAAAGCGAGTCCTTCCACTTTTCGGGTCCTTCGACGTTTGTGTATAGTTTTCATCTGTTTTATTTTTGTACTGTTTTGTACTGCCCTTCGTTGCTTAAGCAGCTACATCTAGGCAGTTTGAAAAGCCGTAAAACTCTGGAGTAAAACTTTTTCTTTCAAATCGGCATTTCGGGATCAACAAACGCTTTTCATTTGATTTTATTTGTTGTTGCGTTTTTCATGTTACCATGTACCCAACAATAGCGTAGCTCCATCTTTCTGTAAACAAATCATACACAAGACACAATTCTCCTATTCACCCTGACGAAGGGCTAACGTTCGAAACGTCAGCGCTTCGAAATTCTTTATGGCGGGTAGTTTACATAATCAACTCAGTTAATAAAAGCAAATTATCTTTTAATGCTCCTCACCTACGCAGCACCACAATTTCTTTTGAAACTTACCCCTTTTTTGCTGTTGTTTGTTTAACGTCCTACAGGTGTGATATCAGTGCTGGCCAATGTCCGGCCGTTTGATGATCTCGCTCACCCTCTGTGTAGAAATCTGCGGGATGGAAACTGGTTGTTGGATTATGTTGTGGGAAGACTTCTTCCTTTTGTTGGTACAAGACAGGTCAGTGAATAGCATCTAATTTCTCCTTACAATATCATCTCGAAATTACACATCAAGGTAATGAGAATTAAGGAGATGATCCACAACTAAAGAAGCTCTTGATAGTTTACTAAATTCTCCTTTTCAGCACCTTAGGGAATGTATAGAGAACAGTATGGAGAATATACATACTGATGTAAGGGTATGAGGGTTTAAGGCAAGAGCTCTGAATTGCAGTTAACACGACTGAATATAGGTAACAGGTACAAAGATTGTAAGAGCTTTTTTTCTCTAGTTGGCACTTGGCACGTAAAGCTTCTAAAGACTTTGTTTTTGTTATTGTATAATTACTTTATGATTTCCGTTGTGTTTATACCTGTAGTTGGGTGTATGGCTTGACAAGGTTTTCAGTCTGATCAAGGAATGTCCAAGATATCTGGTTCCATGCTACTTTGACGCCATTATCACCCCTCTTTATCTTAAACTGCTGGATCGAGCTTGGAGCCAGATGTCAAGGTTTGTTGTTTCTTTTTCTGTGAAGTTTTTCCAGTGGCCCTGTAGATGCTTTGAAATTCATCTTGTGGTATCATCTCTTAGAGGAGAACACGGTACCATCTGTGTAATTTAAAATTTCCATTTTTTCAGTTTTGTTCAAAATGGCTCATCGTTCCTCAAAGCCCTTTCACTTGGCTCTCTCCAGTTCGTTGGCCTGTCTCGGACAGCCTCGCTTCCAGCTCTGTCGCCCCAACTGTACCATGGTCCATCATCTGGGGCTGACATGCCAACTCTGATGTCATTAGCGGCGGGTTTGCCTCATTTTTCTTCTGGCTTCATGCGCTGCTGGGGGCGAGATACGTTTATTGCACTTAGAGGTTTATTACTTGTAACGGGCAGGTACCAGGATGCCAGGTATATAAGTTAAGAAGCTCTTGTACCTACTTGCATGTGAAATGTTAGTGAGAGGTTTTAAATTTAATGTCGAAAATTACTCTGGAATTGCCTTGATTTTGTCATACCTCTCTATGCGAACGGTCCAGAAAACTCGCGCCAATTTCTCAGCCAATCAGATTAAAAACTACAACCAATCGCGACTTTGTCGCCCGCATTTTCCCTCGCTTCGGGCAGTTGCTTGTTTTTACTTTGAATTCTCATTGGCTGCTTGTGATATTTTCTTTTTTTGTGATTGGCTGTTGAGATTACTTTGGTGCTGGTTTTACGACGCTCAATCGAACTGTAAATAATATACTTGTTTTCAAAGCCCTTTGCCTTCTCAATGTTCTCTAATTTCTTGGACTATTGTAGACATCATATCTTGGCCTTTGCTGGATGTATCCGCCATGGCCTCATTCCTAACCTGTTGGACGGTGGACGCAAGCCCCGGTATAACTGTAGGGACGCCCCGTGGTGGTGGCTCCAGTGTATTCAGGATTATTGCTCCATTGTCCCGGATGGGCTGAAGATCCTGTCGGAACCAGTCTCCAGGATCTTCCCTTCGGATTGTTCTGATCCGCAGCCGCCAGGCAAAACCGTAAGTTAAAAATATTTTAAACTTCCCTAAAAACCCTCGAAATACTTAAGATAAACACTGTTTATTCGCCTGAAAAACAGTGCACGCAGCCAAAAATCTTCTCACTCCAATTTAACGATCCTTACAATTCGCGTGCGTGCGCATTCTCGCTTGCAATCTTGTTGATGTCACACTGCACATCCGTCATAACGGAAGTAGACGTTGCCTTCCTTTTCTTTTCCAGGATCAGCCTCTATATGACGTAATACAAGAAGTGATGCAACGCCATTTCAACGGTATCAGTTTCCGTGAGCGGGGAGCTGGGCCCGAGCTAGACAACCACATGCATGGTGCAGGGTTCAATGTCTCTGTTGGTGTCCGCGAGAGCACTGGGTTTGTTTATGGTGGGAGCCAGTGGAATGCTGGGACATGGATGGACAAAGTTGGTGAATCTCATATGGCGGGAAACTTTGGAGTGCCTGCCACTCCCAGGTAAATACCTTGCTTATTGTTTATGGGAACAGGAAACACAAATATTAACCTTAATTCAAATACTCTACAGTTTAAGAACTATACAGCAGACAGTCAGATCAAGATAGTTTCTTACTGATAAGTTTGATTATTCTCATTTCCTGTTTGCTGGATAAAGTATATATATTATTGGGAGAAGTTACATTTGAATCACTTCTTGGAGTTAAAGGGTGAATTGATTTCGTGAGCCCGCTTTGAAAGCTTCTCGTTGTTTCGTGTCGTAGTCTCCAGTAAAGTCAATTCTCGAGAGTTGAACATCGCACAGTTCATTCAAGTTAAGTTGAATACTCTGTGTTTTAGGGACGGCAGCGCAGTTGAGATAGTGGGTCTTTGCAAATCAACTGTGCGCTGGTTAGCTGAGCTGTGTGATCAAAAGAAGTTTCCATATGCGGGCGTGTCAAAACTTCAAGATGGTATGTTTAATCTTCATTACAGTGCCGATATAAATGCAAAGTTCCCTGGTACATCCATTTGTCCAAATTGTAAGCAATTAAAAGGGTATCTTTGTCATCAACCTTGGATGGCATATTGTTGAGAAGTATTCACTTGTCCCAAGGAGAAATTAGGTGCTGTTCATTCTTGGGAGTGAAACTGAACTTTTCTTTGATATTTATTGTTGCAAGTTCATTAGGAAATTTATTAGCAGAATAGGAATTCCATCATCGCTTCATTTACAGGCGTAACTTTACATCTTTTAAGGTTTTCCCGTAGAGTTATCTTACAAGGAGTGGAGCTTGAAGATTCAGAATGCGTTTGAAGAACATTTCTGGATACCTGAGGATCCTAAAGATAAAAAGCAGCAAGGTGATGAAGACAAATTGGTCCACAGAAGAGGAATTTACAAAGACACTGTCGGAGCTACTCACAGATTTACAGATTACCAGTTCAGACCTAACTTGTGTGTGGCTATGGTTGTGGTAAGTTCAGTTCGGTGTTTGTAGGTAGCAAGATCGCCCCTATTCTTACTAGTTCTCCTCTAGGAATACAACAATTGCGCTCCTTCCTTTACCAGTTCGCCTTAAAATCTTGTTATATTTTAAGGGGCAGACTGGTCGTGGTGGGGGCGAACTGGTAAAGGGGAACGTGCGATTGGTCGAAACCTCCATAAACTGTTACATTCTTGTCGGTATCACTACATCTCAACCTCTGACTTTGAGATTTGTTCAGGGCTTAATTTATCCTTGAAATTTTAGTCCATCGTTGCAAAGAGGGTAACTCGATGAGAATTTAAAAAAATTGTTTGCTAAAGCGTTATGATATTTTCATGATTAAGAGGAAATTCTCAGAACTAGCTAACAAGTGAAGGTATTGTTACATGTGAGGAGATTTAACCCTTGGATCTTGGCCTAATTTGCCACGTGTTTCGCTGATATTTTAGGCTCCAGAGATGTTTAACCCTGAAAATGCGTGGAAGTGTCTTGACATGGTGGAGGAAATTCTCTTAGGTCCACTGGGCATGGCTACATTGGATCCCAGGTAACGTAATCGCACATCTGTGGAAAAAATGTAAAAAAACTTAATTAAAACTTCCGCACTCAGTAAAACACAAAAAGAGAAAAAGAGTAGAGGAGTAGAAAGGACAGAGTGTGAAGGGGGGGTGGGAGCGTAAGCAGTGGCGGATCTCCCCCGCTTATTTTGGGTAAAAAAAAAAGAATTGCAGAAGGAAGAAAAGCCAGCAGGGCAACCGATACAAAAGCGCCCTCCCCCCTCCCTTTAGCTCAAGGTCTGGATCCGCTACTGGTAAGGAAGGGGAGATGGTAGGCTTTGTTGTACCCATCTGCAGGTGCCCCGCGTATAATTCACTGCAGTTGATTGCCTATAAGGTTATCCTTGTTACTGTTTTTTTTTTAATTTGATACTATTTCTTTCTGTTTTAGTGACTGGGCGTATGAAGGAGTTTATGACAACTCGCAAGACTCCACCTCATACAAGAGTGCTAAAGGATTCGCTTATCACCAAGGCCCGGTGAGTCAGTCAATAATTTGATATTTGAAAGACGGGATTAACTCTGTGACATCGTGTTTTTGTAGCTGGTTCCTGCTCCCCTCTCCTCCCCCCACCTAAGGAGGGTGTTAAAGGGAAAGTTACTATAATTTCGACACCTTAGTAGTGGGAAAAAGAAAAGGACGAAGAGACTAAGTCATGAAAAAAAATTAGGAAATTTCCTTTTTGGCTTGAGGTAACCAGTCCTGTTAATTTTTTTGCTTTTTTTTATCGGGCTCGCAAATAAGTGATGTGTTGAGTGAAAAAATACCGTATCGAAACGAGAAGCTTAGAATCGTAGATTAGCAACTCTAAGAGAAGGTTATTTCCCCCGAAAAGAGGCACCTGAAAGAAGAAGCACCACAGAATTGTGGTACCCAAATATAAGAACCAAGCAAGACTTAAACAATTTGGTTTATCGTTCTGAAAACATGATATTACCCACATCTGAGAGGGAATATAATCTTTGTATCGTTATTTTGTAGGAGTGGCTATGGTGTACTGGCCCTTTCTTGAGAGCTCGGCTGTACTTCGCTAAAAAACTTCATGGTCCAAAGGGACTGGAACTGGCAGTTGTGCGTGTAAAGAGCATCCTGGCAAGACACAAGGTAGAGATAACGAGCTCCCCCTGGCGTAGCCTACCAGAACTTACTAATGCAGGGGGGGCTCCGTGTCATGATGGCTGTCCAGCACAGGCGTGGTCTGTCGGCTGCTTGTTGGATGTGCTGTATGATATGGAAAAGTTGGTCAAAGATAATTAAACTTAGTTTTTATTAATTAGTCTTTTTCTTCCCTATCGTTGTTTTAAGTAACGCAACTTCTGTAACGTAACTCAATGGTGGGTTTGCCACGCACGTTGTCGTCATTATGTGACGTGACTATAAGTGGTCACGGAACGGGTTAGATTGCGTGACTATGAAACGGCAGCTTGCCTAGAAAAACTGGAAGGTTTAGGTAAAGTCGAATATCATAGAGATGTCCCTAGGTTATTCCAAGTCAGATTTCACTTAGGTAAGATTTGCAAGTAATGATAATGATAAATATTTAGTTAATATTTTTAGGTGTAGAACTGACATTTGCTAACTCGTGAATGTTTTATTGTTTGTTTTCAACTTCAGATTTCTTTTTTGCATTAGTTTAGGAAAGACTTGGAGCTTTCAAAGTAGTTAGGTGCAAAACCTTTTTTAATGGCTTATTTAAGATGGGATGTAATTTTTTTCTCTAGGCCTGATCCTCCAATCCTAACGAAAAAACACAAATAACGAAACAAAATGAATATTAGTTTTAATGAAAAAACGAGATGTAATAGTATTTTTGTGAAATCGTATGTATACTTCATCAACCGAAGTGTAATTCCTTCTTTGCCCAACCTGAGATCTATATGCGGGCTCTACCATTTTAACGGTGTGTATTGGCGCATGCGCTTGAGCCTGCGCAGTAGAAAAGCACTTAGAGGGGATTACATCATGGGAAATCGTAGTGTCTCCAATGTAGCATCAAGTTACAACATTGAAAAATTAGTGATTTCGTAGAAAGGAACTAATTGCTCAGAATATGAAATTGGTTATGTATATTTTATGTAGAATGTCGAATTTTTTTTGCTATAGTATTATTTATGCAAGTTATTTCGTCAGGGTTACTTTGCATTTTAGGTGTAACGTGAGTTGTCTGTTCGTTCCACTGAACGTGATTTAAAAGAACTTTAAAAAATAAATGAAATATGAATGAATTTTTTATTCTTCTTGTGGTGAAAACCCTTCCATAACATTATTACGATATTTTAAACCCCGCGACTGGCCATCATAGTTGTTTTCCGGCACTTCTCGTTTCCCCTGGAATATGCAATACTGATCATTCGATCAAATAGTTGATTTCTCCGTGATAACAGCTGGTACTTTAGTCGTCTCAAAGCGTCTGGAGACAGAAGTAAATCACATTGAGGATAGCAAACAAAAGACGAAGTCCACCCCTAAGAGGTAAAGTACCGACCCACTCTCCTTGACAATGGTAGCCCCAGTCTTGTACCCAGACCTTCCACGGCTACGCGGTTATAGTTAAACGGTAAGATCTGAGTACAAGATTAGGCTAACCCTTACCCTCCACCCAGGGGATCGCAAGCTTAAGTCTGCTCACAAACAACGTCTTCTGAGAAACGTATACGCAACGCAGCCTTGCGAGTTAAGACTGGTATCTTTCTTGTACTGCGTTAGCTTCAATATTTCGCGACTTGATTCAGACCAATCTCACGTTTCAATCCACCGCTGGCTATCGCACCGCTTACCTTCGAGTTGCACTTGACTAACTGGATGTCAGAAGTAGAGTGGTTAATATGCTCCGCAATCAAAAGTTTATACTCCGTTATCTTAAAAATTCCGGCACTGAAGTGAGGCTTAGAAGGCGGAAGTAATCTGACACGTCCCATCAGTCTTGGCGGGTAACAACCGGTATGGCGGCCATATTGCGGACAATGTGCTCAGAGAAGATAACTGAATCGACTTAGCTCAGCGTTTTGCGAAAGTATGTTCTATATTTTTAGGGTCCAAAACGTTGAAGTACCTCAGGGTAAACATAAGTTAACTTTACTCACTTGGTTTGCTGGCTGAATTCAAGATGTCAGTGTAACAGCGATGACCTTGATTAGAAAGATTTGTTTGCACCTAACAAGGTAAGATTTTCTCGCTTTTATGACATTTACGTTCAATTTAAGGCTGTATTTATGACAGTTTAGGTAGTTATGATTTTGCTCTCAATTTCGGCAGTCGACGACAAGATTTCCACACAGCCCATACTTCATTATGCATACAGTTCTAGTATGAAAGAAAACAATGGCTGAAGTAAGAGGTTGCCTTTGGGGCTTCGGCCCTAAAATAGCCAGTCGTCAATACTTGGAAAAATTATCTGTCATTTTGAAATAAGGGCAAGACGCTAGTACGAGAATTTTCATGCTGCCTTCTAGACCCAATATTGAATTTGTGTAACTTCTTTTTTGTGGTAAAACAAACAATTTTTGATAATAGATCATCCTTTTTAACAGCAAGTTTACCTTTAAGCCTTGAGATGACAGTGGGACAGACTGACTGTCCAGCTGACAGACTTAGAGTAACTGAGTAACTTACTTAAGTTAGATTTTAAACATTGTAATTTTATTTTATAAATAAACTGCAACAAACATCAAAAACTTTGACCAACTGGATGATTGCCTGACTGAATAGCTCACTAACTTTGTGAGTCTGTTACTCACAGGCTGTTTGACTGACTGTCTGACTAACTCACTGACAGACTTTCTCACGTACTCACTGATGGACAGACTGATTGATGGACTGACTGACTGATTGATAGCATGACTGAATGACACACTAACTTTATAACTCAGTGACTTATAGACTGTTTGACTGACTGTCTGACTAACTTGGTCACTGACAGAATTTCTGACTGACTGACTGATGGTCTTTCTCACTTATATACTAACTCACTAATGGACAGAGTGGCTTACAGAATGACTGACTGTCTGATGCACTGACTTCTTCACTTATTTATGAACTCACAGATGATCGGAGTGGCTGACAGAGTGATTGTCTGATGGGCTGACTGACTTACTAACTAGTTGGAGGATGGACTGATTGATTGACTGACTGACCAACAGACTGACTTTCCCACTTATTTACTAATTTAATGACTGGCTGAAGAACTAACCCTACTTTCTGATGGACCAACTGTTTGACTGAATAACTGACTGACTGACTGACTGACTAACTGATTTTCTGACTGACTGACCAATCGCTCTGACGAAGGGCTAACGCTCGAAACGTCAGCTTTTTTACCCTTTACGGTGGCTAATTTACGTTTTCAACCCAGTTGTTAACACTAAATTACCTGCTGACCAATTGACTAACTGATTAATTGACTTAAGACTGACTGATTAACTGACTAGCTGACTGAGTGACTGACTAAATGACTGATTGTCTGACTGTCTTAATGAGTTACTAACCCACTCACTGACACACTGGCTGACTTTCTGACTGACAGACTCTGACAGATTGGTTGACAAACTGACTGATTGACCGACAATCTGACTTGTGAGATTGGGTTATTGAATGGAAGACAATTTGACAGATTGACTGACTGAGTTACTGTATAATTGTGTGCCTGTGTGACATTCTGTTTGGCTGGAAGGTTTGATTGTTAGATCAAGTGACTGACGGACACACTACATCACTGATTAATTGAATGGACATATAAGACTGTCACTGAATGATACTTCAACATTGTTACACCAGTTTGCATTTCATGAAAAATTACCATTAAAAAAACCCAAAACCAAAAAATTGATTTTATAGTTTGGTCTTCAACTCCTGTAAATGGATAACCCTTTTTAAGGAAAACTTTCTAATCGCATTTAATGTGTAGAACAAAAACATTTTTTCTTCAAAGAGTTTTAAAAACAGTTCTGTTAATTTCTTGTGGGAACTAGTAAGTTGAACCATATTGGTGTTTGGCTGGTTTTGCAGCCTATGCTTTGTGATGCTTCCAAAACAGTTGATACATTTCTCATTTGAACGCACATTTAAAAGCCATAAGTGAAATGGAGTTTGCATGATTTAATATTTTGACTATGCCGAAGTTGTCATGAAACATTGGAGCACTTTAGCGATTGAGTGTTGGAAAACCAATAACAATTTGAAAGTAATCACAATGACCAATCAAAAGAAAGAAAATACCTTTAAGAACTAATGAGAACTAAAAGTAAAAACAACCAAACTGCCTGAAGTGCAAGAAAACGCAGGAGACCAAGTTGTGATTGATTTTTGTTTTGCATCTGATTGGTTGAGAGAGTGGTGTGAGTTTTCTGGACCAATCACAGAGGGAAGTAAAGTAAAAACAAAGCAACCGATTACTTTTGACTCTGGATTGAAAATTGTTTTATCGATTCAATAAATTATGTCTCATTAGTAGCTTTCCTTTATTGATTTTATGATTCTATCTGACAAACATTTTGAATAGTCTTGTAATTGCTTTTTTAATTAAAAGCATTTTGTGAAGTGTACTACTTATTGACTTTTACTTTAACAGGAAGATGCCAACTGGAACATGAAGTAGACCAGCCTCAGCAGTCAGGATGTGGCCGTCATCTTCAAAGAGTTGTTGTTTTACTTAATTGCAATCCAGCCTTTGGGTGAACCAGGTAAACAAAACTCTTGTTTAAGCCAAGTTCAGTGCTAAATTTGCCTGAGACATGCAATCTATATAAGTGCCATGCTTGATTCTCACTGTGCATGAGATATATGTAGTCTTCTTTGTTTTCCTTGGAACATAGGACCTTCACTGTAAGCCACCATCTCTATCAATCTTGGGACAGTCTCTGTCTCCTTCCCAGACCCCTTCCTTCAGTCCTTGGCTTTACTTGCAGAGTTGGTCTCCCTAAGGAGGATCTAAAATAATCACCCAAATGGCCAATTTACTGTGGAAATAGAATTAGTGTTGTTTCCTTTGGATAGTTTTCATAAATTGGTTTGAAAAAGAGAAAAATATCAATAGTAGTGAGGTTAAGAAATCACGCAGCAAACCAAAAGGATGACAGAATTAAGGAAGAGGCCTTTGTGAAGTGCATCCATTCCTCAGCCCTTTTCTTTCCTCTCATTTGCCTCCTCTTCACTGTGATCTCTTTTAGTCCAAAGTTAAGGAAAAAATACAACAATAGAGAGTACAAAAATGCACCAGTAAGCTTGGTCAGGAGAAGCAAATTGTTCTTAGTTTTTTCCTATCATATTTTGTTGCTTTGTTGCTTTTTACAGTTCATCTTAGTGGTCTATACAATTAGTACAATCTATGCATGGTACTTTCGTGAATTGCATGTCCAGGTTACTTGATGTATAGTCAAACTTTCCATGTGGCAAACCTTACAGAAAGTTGAAAATGATACCACACTCCATTTTTTCTCATTTAAAAAATTTTTCTTTAAGCCATCACAAAAAAGAGACTTTTCAAGAAATATTAGGCCAAAAAGAAAAAACACCATCAACTCAGTGTAAGTTGAATTGCAACTCTCTAACTTAACAGCTGCCATTTGGACATACTGTAATTATGACTGCCATCTGATGGTGAGGAAACAAATTTGAAAAGTTGTGGGTGTCATGCTAGTGATTCAATTTTTGCTTAATCAGGGCTCACTTTCATTTTCAAAGTCATCATTCAGTGACCAATAATGGATGCCCAGAAACAAAGTTTCAGTGGCCAGAAAATAAAATTTAAAAACCTGCCAACCACAATGCTTGCCTTGAGCTGTAGAGGTTCATCCAAGATCTCAAGGTTTATTACTCAGTCAACTGAGGGAAAAGAGGCAAATTTTGATTGAAGGGAATGAGAGGACATGGACTTCATTTTCTGAAAATTTTCTTTACACAGTAACTTAGAGGTAAAAAAAACATGAAAGCTAACTTACACTGAAAATTTTTTTTGCAAATTTTGTAGTTTAGAAATACATATGCTTTCACTTTTTAAGTTAGCCACATGAAGCAAGCAACTCTGTTATAACAACTTGTTTTAATTCAGAAAACTATCTCATGGTGGCAAATCTCCTCCAAATTATACTCGTGTATTAAGAGACATATTGGTTAATCTAAGGTTGTTGCCAATGGATGGTTTGACTGTATAATGTTCATGTATTTTATTTACTGTGAACTTAATTGGTTTATTTTCTTAAAATCTCACTGGCTTTTCCTCAGTGACCTGATTTTCAGCGCTTTTTAATGCTTTTCAAATTACAAAATATCAGTTTTGTTCAAATTTTTTCGTAATTTCCTTCGCACTTAGAACGGAAAATCAAGTAGAAAAAAAGTACGTTCGGGAAACAAACATGGTTACTATTGCGTGACAGATTGTACCATGCGTTACCAAAACGATGTCACGTGTCACGCAAATCCTCCCAAGAACAGGTTCTCTTCTGTTTTATTGATTCAGGTGTGTCTGATCCTTTTTTCATCTAAAAAAGAAACTAAAACGACTTCTGAAAAGTTTGTTATCAAACCCGAACGAAAAAATTTGACAAAATGTAACGTAAATCAAAAGCTCAAACGTCGCTTTCAAAGTAAAATTTTATTTCACGCATTAAAACCATCGACTCATCAATCTTTGTGTCAATATTAAGTTAAATTTTAGTAAACAGAACTCTTCAAAAATAATCGTTTTCCGCGTAGCTGAAAGATGACTTGGCCAGAGTTGCATTTGTTGGTTGTCGATCGACCGAATAATTTTCCGAAGTAGGAATATATTTGAATAACTTTCTCCCGCTCACGAGGAAACAAAATTAACTGAGGAAAATGGAGAGGTTTTTAGAAGATATACTTAGGCTCTTCAGCCCCAAAACAGGTTAAATTCCTAGTTATAGCTGCGATCTTGATATCGGGAAAAAGGAAATTTATTTTGCGCGAAATTCTCAACGCATGCATTAAAAATTAAATTGATCGGAACGCGCAGGGGGAATTTAGAGATTGAACATTATAAAACGACTGAATTTATGTTCACAGTAAATAATTATTGAGGTTTTAATAATACTCTGTGGTACTGTTGTGCTGTGGATTCTGTAAAAAGGTTGTTTCTGGTTTTATGTACGCCGTAAACATATCCAAAATTTTATTATCAGTTCAAGAAAACGTTCCCTGTTGTCACGCAACAGGAGTGAACTTTATGTCACGAATTCGGATAACGTGACAAAAAAATATCCAAGTTAAGTTTCGGCTGAAACTTGTGTCTGCCGCGTACTTTGGTAACAGAAATGAACTGTTTGCTTGAAACCAAACGTAACTTGATACCACAAAGTTTTATTGAAACTTGCACTGAACTTGGCTCTATTTTGAGAAGTTTAATTAGTTCACCCAAACAACTGGATTGCAAAGTAAAACAACATGTGATTTTATTGAGGAAATAAAACATTGTCTCTGTTGTCCATGACTTTATTGTAAAAAAATTAAAAAAAAATAATGTAGCCAATCTCATCCCCGCCTTATGGTTGCTTCCACTCTGCTGTTCTTAGTCAGTGTTGTCTCTTTGTCCTCATTTATTATTCCAACTTTAAAATCCTGTTCAGTTTTATCTGATCCCTTAGTCCAAGTCGGGGACAGTTGAACACTTGGAAGAGTTGACCACTTGCTCCCAAGTAGGGGGGGCAGGGTAAAGGAAAGTGAGAGTTTGCTCCCAATGCCTCCAGGGTCTTTCTCCTAATTTGTCACAATACCGCTGCTAATCAATTTGGAATTAATTAGTCGGGGAAAAAAATTAAAATGCGAAATGGAATTTGACTGAAGGTGCTGATCTGCAAATCAATGTATCAAAAGCTAAAGTGATTTGCCTCGGCGGCAGTAGAAAAAATTTAAGCTCGCAATCGCGCCATAAAGTCAAAAGGAAAAAACCTAATTGAGTTAGAAATGTTCCCAACCAGGACAAAAAAAACCGAAGTGCTAACTTGCCGTGCCTAATTTTCAGTGCATCGCCACTGAAAGCAAGGAAAGATACGGAATCGCACTAATCTGGTTTGACTTTATCACACAAATGCCACCAAAGAACACAAGTCGCTAAATGTCTCTTATCAGTGAAGATACCCATACCAGAATCTCTCTCTAATTTGATTGAAAATAATTCGGTGCGATTTCTATCCTTATGACTACTAAAAGGTTTAGATTTATTTGAAATAAGAAAAAAATTATTGCGAAAGGTTTATGTTAATTATGCACATTCAGCTTGGTTTGTTTGTTGACCATTTTAAATCACAAGACGTCAACAGGGAATTGTTCCTTTTAAATTTTCAATCATGCATGTACATGCGACAGAATAATTGGAGGAAAAATAAAAGAACAACTCCCCATAGAACGTCCGTGATCTGAAACAGTCAAACAACAAACAAAACCGGACGAGCCTTAAACTAAATGAAAAGCTAGAGAAATGATAGTAAACCTTGGAATTTTTAAGACTAAGCTAAAGACAAGGGCGCAGTAATTCTAACAGCTAACAAGATAGGAATAGATTTACCTAAGCTCTTAAAATTAATTATTCATGCGATTTAAATCGGCCTCAAAACCTAGATCGGTTAGATATTTAAATTTCAGCTAAAGTATGTTTTTATTCCTATGCTAATTATTCCTAAGAATGCTCCCGCCACAAACTCATCTGTGACTGGAATATTGTGTGACGAGTCAACGAACAGCTGCGTGACAAGCCAACGAACAGCCGCGTGACCGCTAATGAAAGTAAGATCTGTAATTATCCTATAAAATATAAGAGTAACTTAACTATTTATCTATCTATATTAGTCCTTTGATTTAAGTTTTTTCCAAAATAAAACTAAGATAATTTTTAGTTGGAGAAGGATGATGAAAATCCTTTAAGTATTAGTTATCCTTATTTAGGAAAAAAATGCTACTTTATCCAAAAAAAAACAAAGGAAATTTGCCTATTCATGACTAAGCCTATTGTATATAATCCTGTTTTAATATTCTACAAAAATAATTATGCTAATCCTAAAATTAAAGTATCTATAGTATGATGTTTTCATGGTGGATAAATTCTACTTGAGTAGAAAAAAAGAGAAATTTTCCTGAAATTACTATAAAGATAAGTTTCATCCAATTCAGGAGGAGGAAAATCCTAGAGTAATAGATTTATTTTTAGATTGAAAGAAAATGCTACTTAGGGTTAGTCCCTATCAATAACTAGACCTAGTTTTTACATTTTTTATAGCTGCATATCTATAGCATTATGGTTATCCTAAACCTATGGTATCTACAGTCATGTTTTTTGCTTCTGTAAGAAAAAGAACCCCTAGTAAATTTTGTTTATTTATAATTGGCCTATGGTTATTATTTTGTTTTATATTTAAGTTATATTTAAATGAAAAACTAAAGAAGAGAGATTCTGGATTCAGTATCAACCCATCAGAGAGACCCCCAGTAACTATTAGCTCAATTTGATGTTATTTGTGTGAGTCCAGTCAAGCCAGACCAGAGAAATCCAGCAAAAATCCGCACTCCCAATGTAAATACACCTAAATTGACCCTACAATTCAGCGCAACTGTTTTAATGATCCTTAGTTGTGAAACATTTCAAGAGATACATTGAATGCAAAAAAGCACCTTCTGAGGCCAAAACTTGTCAAATTGATGCAGCAGTTCTGTGACAA